GGGCAGGTGTGGCAGGTGAGGCAGGTGGGCAGGTGAGGCGGGTGGTGCAGGTGGGCAGGTGGGGCAGCCAGGTGGGGCAGGTGGGGCAGGTGTGTCAGGTGTGTCAGGTGGGGCAGGTGGGGCAGGTGTGTCAGGTGGGCAGGTGGGCAGGTTCGGCAGGTGGGCAGGTGGGCAGGTGGGGCAGCCAGGTGGGGCAGGTGTGGCAGGTGTGTCAGGTGTGTCAGGTGGGGCAGGTGGGCAGGTGGGGCAGCCAGGTGTGGCAGGTGGGCAGGTGGGCAGGTGGGCAGGTGGGGCGGGTGAGGCAGGTGGTGCAGGTGGGGCAGGTGGGGCGGGTGGGGCAGCCAGGTGGGGCGGGTGGGCAGGTGTGGCAGGTGTGTCAGGTGTGTCAGGTGTGTCAGGTGGGCAGGTGGGGCAGGCAGGTGTGTCAGGTGTGTCAGGTGTGTCAGGTGTGTCAGGTGTGTCAGGTGTGTCAGGTGTGGCAGGCAGGTGGGCTCACCTCGGTGAGGATGGTGGTCTCGTAGGAGGGCTGGTACTTCTCCTTCTCGTGCGGCGTCCGCTTCTCCATCTTCTCCCGGTCCGTCTTCTGCTTCCGGTCGGCTCCTTTGGGCTGGGCGGGCCCGACAGGTGAGGGGCCACGGGACGCGGGGGCACAGGTGACACAGGTGGGGGCACAGGTGACACAGGGGCACAGGGGCACAGGTGGGGGCACAGGGGCACAGGTAACACAGGTAACACAGGTGACACAGGGGCACAGGTGTCACAGGTGGGGGCACAGGGGCACAGGGGCACAGGTAACACAGGTAACACAGGTGACACAGGGGCACAGGTGTCACAGGTGGGGGCACAGGGGCACAGATGGGGGCACAGGGGCACAGGTAACACAGGGAGCACAGGTGACACAGGGGGCACAGGTAGGGGCAAAGGGGGCACAGGTAACACAGGTGCACAGGTAACACAGGTGACACAGGGGCACAGGTGGCACAGGTAGGGGCACAGGGGCACAGGTAACACAGGTGACACAGGGGCACAGGTGGCACAGGTAGGGGCACAGGGGGCACAGGGGCACAGGTGGGGGCACAGGGGCACAGGTAACACAGGTGCACAGGTGACATGGGGCACAGGTGGGGGCACAGGGGCACAGGTAACACAGGTAACACAGGTGACACAGGGGCACAGGTGGGGGCACAGGGGGCACAGGGGCACAGGTGGGGGCACAGGGGGTACAGGTAACACAGGTGACACAGGTGTCACAGGTGTCACAGGTAGGGGCACAGGTGCACAGCTGACACAGGGGGCACAGGTGGGGGCACAGGTAACACAGGTGACACAGGGGCACAGGTGTCACAGGTGGGGGCACAGGGGCACAGGTGAGGGCACAGGTGAATCAGCCCTCCTGGGGCTCCCAGAGGGAAAAGGAGCTTGGCCTGAGCACCTCTGCAGGGACAGGGGTGTGGCCACCTGGAGACACCTGGAGACACCTGAACACACCTGGAACACCTGGAGACACCTGTAACACCTGAACACACCTGTAACCCCTGAACACACCTGTAACCACTGAACACACCTGTAACCACTGAACACACCTGTAACCACTGAACACACCTTTAACACCTGAACACACCTGTAACCCCCTGGAGACACCTGTAACCCCTGAACACACCTGTAACCCCCTGGAGACACCTGTAACCCCTGAACACACCTGTAACCCCTGAACACACCTGTAACCACTGAACACACCTGTAACACCTGAACACACCTGTAACCCCCTGGAGACACCTGTAACCCCTGAACACACCTGTAACCACTGGGAGACACCTGTAACACTTGAATACACCTGTGCCCACCTAAATACACCTGTAACCCCTGAACACACCTGTAAATCTGAACACACCTGTAACATCTGAACACATCTGTAACCCCCTGAACACACCTGTAACCACCTGGATACACCTGTAACACACCTGTAACCACCTGGACACACCTGAGTTGTGTCTTCTGCATCACCCACGTAGGAGATGGGATTCTGGGGGGACAAACCGCACCTGGACATGAAGTCACAGGGCTGGCCTTGGCGTTGGCACACCTTGCACACCTGGCACCCTTCCCCACCCGAAATGGGGGAGCCTCACTCCAATCCCCTGGGCAGCACAGACGAGGAACCTCCACAGGTGGCCAGGTGTTCTCCTGGGCAGGTCCCTGAAGAGATTCCCTTCCACCTGCCTGTACCTGCACTCAGGTGAAGGGATTGGGCCCAGGTGGGGCAGGGGAGGGCAGAGCAGGACCCCAAACCCCCCGAGGTGCACAGGTGAGAAAAGAGGAGCCAAGGTGAGATTCCGGGGGTGCTGCAGGTGGGGCAGCCCAAGGTGTGACCCCAGCGGGAACGACCCCGCCCTGCACCTGCACCACCTGCACCACCTGGCCGGGGCCGCCCGTCCCAAAGGCGGGAGCTTCCCGAGGCACCGGCAGCCCCCAGTGCGAGGTGGGAGGGGCCCAGGTGAGGCCAGGTACCTTGAACACCTTGATCTGGCAGCTGGCGGAGTGCAGGTGCTCCGTGTACTCCCCGCTCTCGCTCTCCCTGAAGGTGTCGATCTGCACGCGGAAGGGAACGCCCTTCTCGCCGCCATGCTTGCGCAGCGTGAACTCCGTGCTGATGCAGTGCACCTGCGGACAGGTGAGCTTCCTGTGGGCCCGCTGCGGGGGGACGGAGCCCAGCTGGCCTCACCTGGGGGAGGGACGGAGCCCACCTGTGCTCACCCGATATGGGACAGAGCCCACCTGTGCTCACCTGGATGAGGGACGGAGCCCACCTGTCCTCACCTGGGTGAGGGACAGAGCCCACCTATCCTCACCCGATATGGGACAGAGCCCACCTGTGCTCACCAGGGTGTGGGGCACTGCCCACCTGTGCTCACCTGGATGAGGGACAGAGCCCACCTGTCCTCACCTGGGTGAGGGACAGAGCCCACCTGTGCTCACCTGGATGAGGGACAGAGCCCACCTGTCCTCACCTGGATAAGGGACGGAGTCCACCTGTGCTCACCTGGATGAGGGATGGAGCCCACCTGTCCTCATCTGGGTGTGGGACAGAGCCCACCTGTCCTCACCTGGGTGAGGGACAGAGCCCACCTGTCCTCACCCGATATGGGACAGAGCCCACCTGTGCTCACCAGGGTGTGGGACAGAGCCCACCTGTGCTCACCTGGATGAGGGACGGAGCCCACCTGTCCTCACCCGATATGGGACAGAGCCCACCTGTCCTCACCTGGGTGTGGGGCACTGCCCACCTGTGCTCACCTGGATGAGGGACAGAGCCCACCTGTCCTCACCTGGGTGAGGGACAGAGCCCACCTGTCCTCACCCGATATGGGACGGAGCCCACCTGTCCTCACCTGGGTGAGGGACGGAGCCCACCTGTCCTCACCCGATATGGGACGGAGCCCACCTGTCCTCACCTGGGTGAGGGACAGAGCCCACCTGTGCTCACCTGGATGAGGGACAGAGCCCACCTGTCCTCACCTGGGTGAGGGACAGAGCCCACCTGTCCTCACCTGGATAAGGGACGGAGTCCACCTGTGCTCACCAGGGTGTGGGACAGAGCCCACCTGTGCTCACCTGGATGAGGGACAGAGCCCACCTGTCCTCACCCGATATGGGACAGAGCCCACCTGTCCTCACCTGGATGAGGGATGGAGCCCACCTGTCCTCACCTGGATGAGGGACGGAACCCACATGTGCTCACCTGGATGAGGGACGGAGCCCACCTGTCCTCACCCGATATGGGACAGAGCCCACCTGTCCTCACCTGGATGAGGGACGGAACCCACCTGTGCTCACCTGGGTGAGGGACGGAGCCCACCTGTGCTCACCTGAGTGTGGTACAGAGCCCACCTGTGCTCACCTGGGTGAGGGACGGAGCCCACCTGTGCTCACCTGGATGAAGACTGAGGTCCTCTTGGAGGGATCCCACAGGAACTCCACGGTGTTGAGCTGCGTCGGGTTCGCGCGGGGGTCGATGATCCCCACGGACATCGGGATATCTGTGGGGGGGAACAGGTGAGGCCCACCTGGGCCCTCCCAGCTTGCCCAGCCAGGTGAGACTCACCTATGTCCAGGATCCTGTCGCCAGGTCGGTTCCACCTCCAGCCCTCCAGCTGCTGGTGCTCCGTGTACTGCAGCCGCCGGTCGTGGAAAACCACCCGGAAGATGCTCTGCGGAAGGGGGGACATCACCTGGCGCTGCCCCGGCACACCTGGCCAGGTGCAGCCCTTCCCTGCGCCGGAAAGGGGCCGAGGGAACCGCCCTCCTCCCCCAGACAGGTGCATCTCCCAGCCCCACCCACCTGCAGGGCCCCCGAGGGCACCTGGCGGGCATGGGCACACCTGGCCAGGGGCACCTGCGCTCTCTGCTCACCTTGACCAGCTTCCCGTTGATCTCGGGCAGCTCCCCGAGTTTCCTGTTGTCCAACATCCGGATCTCGTAGGATTGACCTGGGGGCAGGAGCGCACCTGAGGGGTTCTGTCACCTGTACCTGTCCCCTGAGCTCCTTGTCACCGGGGGTGCCACCAACCCAGACCTTCCAGTTGTACCTGGAAGCTGCAGGTACAGCCTGAAGCTGTAACTGCCAGCCTGCAGTGCTGCCCAGCACTGACCTGTACAGATACACCTGACACACACCTGTACATGTACACCTTACACACCTGTACAGATACACCTGACACACACCTGTACAGATACACCTTACACACCTGTACAGATACACCTGACACACACCTGTACATGTACACCTTACACACACCTGAACAGATGCACCTTACACACACAGATACACCTTACACACTCAGATACACCTTACACACACCTGAACAGATACACCTTACACACACCTGAACAGATACACCTTACAAACCTGCACAGATACACCTGACACACCTGCACAGATACACCTTACACACACCTGAACAGATACACCTTACACACACAGATACACCTTACACCTGTACATACACCTTACACACACCTGTACAGATACACCTTACACACCTGTACAGATACACCTTAATACACAAATACACCTTACACCTGTACAGATACACCTTACACACACCTGTACAGATACACCTTACACACACAGATACACCTTACACACACCTCAACAGATACACCTTACACACACAGATACACCTTATGCACACCTGTATCACCCTGTACACACCTGTACAGATACACCTTACGCACACCTGCACAGATACACCTTACGCACACCTGTATCACCCTGTACACACCTGTACAGGTACACCTTATGCACAGCTGTATTACCCTGCACACACCTGTACAGATACACCTGACACACACCTGTATCACCCTGCACACACCTGTACAGGTACACCTTACACACACCCCTATCACCCTGCACACACCTCTGCACACACCTGCACAGGTACACCTTACCCGTATCACCCTGCACACACCTCTGCACACACCTGCACAGATACACCTTACGCACACCCGTATCATCCTGCACACACTTGTACAGGTACACCTTATGCACACCTGCACAGGTACACCTTACGCACACCCGTATCACCCTGCACACACCTCTGCACACACCTGTACAGGTACACCTTACCCGTATCACCCTGCACACACCTGTCACCCCCTTTAACCCGGTGAAGCGCCCAGGTGACTCCTGCTCCACCTGGGCGGAGCACAGGCAGGTGCAGGCAGCGCCGCCTCCCAAGAGCCGGCAACAACCCCGGGAAAGGCCGGCTCCCGCCGGCAGGAGCCGCGGCCGGCTGCTCCCGGGGGTACCTGCGCACAGGTGCGGCTCACCTTGGTTCAGGTAGGTGAGGGTCTCGTCGTGCAGCTTGACGGCGGGCGACGTGGCGGCGCACAGCACGTACTGGAAGGGCAGCAGCTTGTCCTGGCTCTCCGGGGGCAAGCTGGACTCCTCCTGCTTGAAGATGGGCAGAGCCAGGACATCGCTGCAGGTGGGGAGAGAGTCACCTGAGTCACCTGGGAGTCACCTGAGACAGGTGAGCTGGCGGTCAGGGGTGCCATCAACCCGAGCTGGCCTTGGCACCTGGAGGAAGAGCCCCCCAGGAACCCGGCCCTGCCTCGGGAGCCGGCCCGAGCCCAGGGATCCAGGTGTGCCCTGAAACTCTGGCCTCAGGTGCTCACCTGAAACACACCTGTGGCCATCCGAATACACCTGTCAGCACCCCTAATCCTGACCCCAGCACTACAACAACCACAATTCCAGCTCTAACTCCAGCCCTGCTCCTTCCCTACTCCAGCCAGAGCTCCAGCCCAACTGCACCCCGATTCCATCCCTACTGCATCCTGAATCCATCCCAAATCAATGCCTACTGCATCCCAAATCCATCCCGAATCCATCCCTACTGCATCCCAAATCCATCCCAAATCCATCCCAAATCCATCCCGAATCCATCCCTACTGCATCCCAAATCCATCCCAAATCTATCCTCACAGCATCCTGAATCCCCGAATCCATCCCGAATCCATCCCAAATCCATCCCGAATCCATCCCTACTGCATCCCGAATCCATCCCAAATCAATGCCTACTGTATCCCAAATCCATCCCGAATCCATCCCAAATCCATCCCAAATCCATCCCAAATCCATCCCAGCTGTACCCCACCCTCCTCTCGAATCCATCCCAGCCCCAAATGCAGCTCGGGGCTTTCCTTCAGCCGTAATTCAAATTAAACTCTCCCCCAACTCCATCCCAACTCCATCCCAACTCCATCCCA